ATATATGTATATATATACTTACTAAATTATTATACTAATTATTACTTTTTTTTTTTCCAATTGAAAATATTAAATAAAATAACTAAAGAGTAAATCTATTCAACATATTTATATATCTGCAGTTATAGTCCAATTATCTATATTTTGAGTTCTAAAATTATATAAAAAAAAATTGATTAACTGTAATAAACAAAAAATGGGGTGATGGAAAAAAAATCTCCATCCCGAAAATAAAAATCTAAATACAAAAAATTTATTAAGAAATAAAAAAATGTAGAATTTTGAGAAAAAGTATAATGTAAGTGTATAATGGGTATTAAAAAGATATGATATAAATTATTTAAGGTATAATAATAACTCTACCCTCATCTTTAAATTTGATATAGCGTGAAAAAGAGTATTAATTAGAACTGGTTCCAATCTAGTTCGGATCTAGTTTAAGAATTTAAAAAATAAAATTATATAGTTTATAAGTGTGAACAAATATGAACACATAGTGTGAATACAAAAAGGTTTTTTTGGTTTTGTTTTTGCTTTAATATAACTTTAGATTATTTGGTCATCAGGGTCTAATGCTCTTTCCAGGGGCGGAAAATATCTAAGATTTACCCCCTCAATTTTAAACAGCAGGATGTACAATGTGTTAAAACTACGTTCACACATGGAAAAGAAATAGTGAATTTGCCTATAAGTAGAGGATAAGGAAGCACTGCACAGGTCTCTTAAACTGACACCACACAATCCGTCTTGTAGCCAACGGAAGAAAGAGGTATGGCTTCCATAGTCTTATCCGCCGCAGTGACCTCCGTCAACAGAGCCTCACCGGCTCAGGCCACCGTTGTCGCCCCATTCGTTGGCCTCAAGTCCACCTCTGCCTTCCCCGTGACCCGCCAGACCAACAGTGACATCACCTCCTTGGCCAGCAATGGTTCAAGAATTCAGTGCATGCAGGTAACCAAAAAGACCAAATTACACATTTCTCTGCCTATTTGTTATTAGATGCATCACTGCTCACTAGGCTACATGATATCTAAGCACAAAATTTTGGTTTTGAGAACAGGTATGGCCTCCACTTGGAAAGAAGAAGTTTGAGACTCTCTCATACCTTCCTGATCTCAACCCACCACAATTGGCTAGGGAAGTGGACTACCTTCTTCGCATGAAATGGGTTCCTTGCTTGGAATTTGAGTTGGAGGTTACACTCTTCATCTCTTCGGTCTCCCGATTACAACCATAATTAACTACCATGATACAATGAAAATTAGTTTCTGTTTGGCCTAAAACTTTTAAAACAGCTAAGCACTTTTTATTCTTATAACTTGTAGAGAGTTAGAAGCTTTTATCCTTCCATAATTCATAAGGTTATCTATAGTTATGTGTTTAAACCAAACAGACCCTTATCTACAGTAGCATTATGATGGCAATTTAGCATAAAAAGGCTAATGCTGAAATACGCAATCTTCTTTGTTGAAAACAGAAGGGATTTGTTCACCGTGAGAACCACAAATCCCCAGGGTACTATGACGGCCGCTACTGGACCATGTGGAAGCTGCCCATGTTTGGGTGCACCGATTCATCCCAGGTGTTGAAGGAGCTTGAGGAGGCCAAGAAGGCATACCCAAAAGCATTCATCCGTATCATCGGCTTCGACAACGTTCGTCAAGTCCAGTGCATCAGTTTCATCGCCTACAAGCCCCCTGGCTTCTAAATCTCATGCCTTTGCTTTCTGGGAATCAATTTGTGCTTTAGGTTTTGTTCACCCTCTGTTTTGGAGTTTTGTTTCGTGATGTTCTTTTTTTTTTTTTTTTTTTTTTTTTCTGTTTGAATATCCTCGGATGAGCTACTTTAAATCTGGAAATTATTCTGGATTGAAATAAAAACTGGTGTTTTCATTGTCAATTCTCTATTAATTTTACAGTTTTATATCATTCTCTGGTACTAAAACTGACATGAAATGAAACCCAAATCAGAAAATTTAAAAATAAAAGCCCTGAACTCGAAACAGAAAAAGGGGTGTATTGCATTGCATTCTTTTCTTCTTTTTTTTTTTTTTTTTCTCAAGGCTTTGGAACCTCATTGATGTTCTTCAAGTTCCAGATATCATCATCCCAAACAACATCACTGAACAGATCATTGTAAGCGCAATCCACAAAATTGACATCCCAGAACGGCGACCACACGCACCCCCACGACATCTGCTCGTCTGCCACGCCGCTCAACCACGGCCACCACTCTTCCCACCGCACCACATTCTCCACCGTCACCGCTGCTGCTGCCTCTTCCTTCCCATCTTCCTCTTTGCTCTCCATCGCCTTCTTGCTCTTTTTGTTGGACACCCCTTCAGCTTTCGGACCTTGCACGGCACCACCAATCTCCCTATTCCTCTGCCTCTTCATCTCCCCTGTTTCTAGCTTTCACTACAACAACAAAGGAATCTCGTATATCATAGATTTAGATGTTTAAGGAGGTGAGTTAAAGAGGACTAATAACATTTATACTGGAAAAGATTCAAAGGAAAATAAGAAGCTTGGAAATCAAAGAAAGAGCGCATGGTGATGTGAGCAGAAGCAGCTTTTCTTTGCCCTTTGATTGAGGTAATTGGTAAGAGAAACAATCGAAGTAAATGTTCATTTTGGACCGCTGTTGTATATGGGGCTCTGTTCAATGAATGATGGGTGATCCAGTTACAGGCCGGTTAGGAAAAGATGGTGAGGTTTCAATAAAGTAGCGCCAGGTATGTGAATAATAAGATTGGGTTGGTGCCTTGAAAGGTGAGGGAAGCAACGTGAAGATCATTTTTCGAAGGTGAGATATTTTGAAAGCCGGGGGATTTGCTTTCTCAAAATTTGTGACAGTTCGCAGTTCCCATGCGTCTGTCTCCCATTATGCATTCAGAGTGGCTAGTTGCGGGTTTTGTTTCGCTTTTCATGATTAAGGTTTCCCAATTAGGATGCCAAAAAATAGTACGTTTTATTTTTAAAAGTGTTAAGATTATTTAACTAAAGTCACTTAATTATTATCAATAATTTAAATAATTTAATATAAATTTTTGTCAAAAATTTTTTTAATTTAAATAATATATTATGTGGATAAAGTAAAATAAAAAATTATAAGCAAAACTCCCTATTTGCACCATTTTTTTTTTTTCACAATCAACACCTTTCAGAATTTTTCCTCCCTGTTCACACCCTCAATTTTTTAAAACCCGTAAAAAACCTAACATTTTAATGCACTGTCACGGTACCATTACAAAATGCACTACGTGGCACCTAAAAATTGACGTGGCCACTCTGTGCTGTTAGTAATCCAATGTGGATGCCTTTTCTTGATGATGTGGCTTAACATGGCATAATTTTTATGTGAAAATTTCTCAACAAAAAAAAAGAAAAAAGAGAGAACAGGAGCTCTGGTTCCTTGTGAGGAACCCGATCTGGGTTCCTCGTCGTAAGAAACCTAGAGGTCCTTTTTTTTTTTTTGGGGGAATTTTCACATAAAAATTATGCCATGTCAAGCCACAGCATCAAAAAAAGGCATTCACATTGGATTATTAACGACACAAAGTGGCCATGTCATATTTTGTAATGGTATCGTGACGGCGCGTTAAAATATTGGGTTTTTTACGGGTTTTGAAAAATTAAAGGTGTGAATAGAGAGGAAAAATTATGGAAGGTGTTGACCGTGAAAAAATAAATAAATAAAAGGTGCAAATAGGCCTTTTGCCAAAATTATATGACATGACGTAATAAATTTAAATTTAAATAATATTTTTATTTTTATTTTTTTGTCTTTATATGACATGATGTGATATTAAAATAGTTAAAATACTTATGAATTTGTTTATTTTATGTCTTAAAATTATAAATATATATATATTTATAATAAATTTACAAAAAATCGAATTCGAACGGTTGTCCTGGAAGATGAGGAAATGCATTTATACCTGGCCTGACGTCATTGAATTCGAAAGCCCAAGTACTAATAAATATATTATTTAGATATTAAATTATATAAAAAATTAACATTAAAACTTAATTTATGGGGCAGGGAAAAAGGGTACTATATGCCACCCAATAGATTAAAATTTGAGCATTTTTGAGTCTATTCTCCTTTTTTTTATTCTCCAAAAATTATAGCTTGTTTTAAAAAAATTGACATTATTTTTATCACACGTGTTATGCAGATATTTTTAGTTGAATAATTTATTAAATTGATTTCAATTTTTATTTTTAATATATATTAATAGTAATAAAAAAATATAATAATAAATATAATTTGATACATATTAGAAAACCCAATATTTACTTGTGCAACCTACCAGAAATTTACTAAAGAGTGAATTTGAAAATCCAGAATGTTATACTTACGATATTATATTAGGTTAAAGTATTAATTTAGCTTCTAATCATAATAAGTTTGAAGTTTTAGTTACTTATTTTACACTATAAAGTTTTAAACCTTTTAATTTAAAGGTTTGAAAATTTTAACCTGTATATTAACAAAATTCGTTAACTATTTGTTAAAATAAAAATAAAATATTTACAGGATTAATTTTCAAAAATTAAAAATATAAAAATTTAGTTCCAACAATTCAAAATTTGAAAAAAATTAGTAAACCAAAAAGAATTAATAGATTAATTTCTTACATACACTAGAATAGTATTAAATATTTATAATCATATCAAGTGATTAGTTCAATTTGAAGAAATAATTTTGACTGAGATGAAAGAAAATTTCTTAACCAAGTTAAAATAGAAAATCCAAGACACTAAAAAAACACAGTTGAGAAATTTTTTTTAATCTTAGTTAGATTTTTTTTTCTTTAAATTGAGTTAATCACTTAATTTGATTATAGATATCTAATATTATTCTTGTGTATATGACAAATTTATCAACTAATTATTTTTAATTTACTAATTTTTTAAAAATTTAAACTTTTGAAATTAAATTATTTCATTTTTAATATTTAATAACTAGTATTGTAAATATTTTATTCTCACTTTAATGAAGAGTTAACAGATTATATTAATTTATAGGCTAAAATCTTCAACCTTTAAGTTCAGTGGCTAAAAACTTCATAATGTAGGGTAAAAGGCTAAAAACTTCAAATTTATTAAGGTTAGGGGTTAAATGTATATTTTAGCCTCTTATTATATGTAAACTTACAATATAATGTATTATTATATAATTAACTTTTTTTTTTCAGAAATTTACTTATGATATTATATGCATCTATTCATTTAATGATATATCATATTTTATTAAATACTACTTAAATTTATAAA